ATGTGGCAGAAAGGAGGTACGGACTTCGGTTGTTGTTGTTTGTAGTTGTTGTAGCGTCGCTGAGTGTGGAACGCAAATTCCGGTGCTGATATCTTCTTCTTGTGTCGTTCTTCTTGCAGGTCCATGTCTTGCTGCTCGGCATGGATTTCGGCACAGAGTGCTGCTTCGGAGATTCTTCCGTGGGCTCGGAGAATGGCCTTTGTGGCGCGCCATTGAGGACCAAGGCCACCGATGATGACTGTCACGAAGGCGTCTTCAGAAATCGACCCCCCGCATCGCAGAAGCTTGTCGCGCAACTCGCGACATCGGCTGGTATACGCCATTCCTTTCTCGCCTGGTTTCATTTCGACCGTTGTCAGTTGCGCCATTAACCGACTTTGATTTACGCTGTCTGTTGCTTGATACAGACTCTTCAAGTGGTTGTACGCGAGCTCCGCGGAGTTGCCGTAACCCCGGTAAGACCGTATGTTTTGCTGTTGAGTTGGGGTGATGTTCCTCAGTAGAATCGTGTACGCCATCATCGACTGATAGGTGTACTGCTGCTTCTCATACTGTGTGCCGTTTGTTGGGTATGGCAGGGATCCGTCGAAGAAGCCAAGTATCTGCGCGCCTTCCATCATTAATTCGAATTCAAACGACCAGGTGAAGAAATCCTTTCCATCGAAAGGCCTTGACGTCTGCATCTTTAGAACGTGCGCGAACTGCGACTGAACTTGCAGTGCGTCCAGTGACTTTTCTTGTCCAGGTGAGGGCTGCGGGTGTGGCATGAAGCTGATGGACCCGCGCTCGTACGGAGCAAAGGTAGGCTGCTGCTGTTGATTTCCTCGTGCGTATGATGAGCCGTCGAGACTCATGGGAGTTGCTCCGTTGTTGTTGCTGTTGTGTGACTGCGCAGGTGCCGATTACTGGTGTTGCTCGTAGAAGGACATGAAGGAGAAAAATTTCTCCATCATGCTCTGGTCGAAGTCTGCAGGTTGATTCGCTAGAGTCTCGGTGGATGTTGCCCTGGGTCTTGTTGCCGTACCCTCCTCTGTTTGTAGGCCAGAGGCAGGAGGTGGAGTAGGAGTAGTGCCCTGGGAGCCGTTGGAGGAGCTCCTTTCCTTTTGTGTAGCCATGCTTGTTGATGCTGTTGGTATTTTAATAGAAGTCGAATTCTCCCTGACTGCTCTCATACCATGTTGGGCTGAGAAAGCCCTTAGGATCTTTTACAGGGATGAACTCTGGGTAGGACTGTAATAGCGGAAGCGTTTAGTGAAGAGATTGTGAACCACCTTGCGCTAGTATGTGAGGGCAAAGTAAGTTAATTAAAACAAAGAGATACAAGATTATATATAAGAGTACAAGGAATACGAAGAGGTACGGTTGTAACTACTTTTACTGTTGCTGTTGCGGTTCGATACAGTGACGACTCGGGCAACTGCTCTGTAGCGAGTCAGTTGTGTGTCCTTGCTGTCGCGCTGTATTTGTCAGGTCAAAGGTCGCCAGGGCCCAAAATTGGTTTAGGCCTACCCTTACAAATCAGGGTTCCAGCCCCTCCTGAACCAGACCCCTAGGGTAAAAATTTCCGTACCCTGTTTGCAGCAGGGTAAATCAACCACTAGCCTGATTTGAGCAGGGTAGTTTTAGGCTATGCCTGTTTATGTTTCTGTTTTGAGAGTTAAGTTATATTTATTGGCATAAACAAGTAGCACATTCAGAGTCCATGAAGTATACACAAGCAACACATGCACTGCACAACACACCTCCCCGATGCCACCCCCACTGCCTACATCTTCTTCTACAATTGGGTCTGCGAAGCTCTGTTGGGGTCAAACCTTCGCCTCAACGTGTTGACAATGGCGAGATTCAAGAATGTGTTGGCAGACCTGCGCGTGGTCACAAGCGACAACGGGTGTTAAGGGGGGTGTTGTACGTTTTGTCACCACGCGGACTATGGTCTGTTTCGCGTTAGAAAAGTTTCGGTAAAAGGGTAGTGTACACCAAACCCTGATTACGGCAGGGTAACCTAAAAACCTATCAGGGTAAAATAAAACATGCTCTTTTAAGAGAAGGGTAACTATTGTGCAATCCTGATTTTGGCAGGGTAATCCTGAAAAAGCGGCCGGCCCCCAGGGTAATCAGGGCGTTTTACCCTGATATTTTGGGCCCTGAAGGTCGCTGACCTTTGACTTTCGCGTAACCTCCAGCAGTTACTTCAACCTCCGAGGGTTGACTCGCTGGTGCCTCGATATGCTTTGCTTCGCTTGTGCCTTGGTGTTTCGACACGACAGAGGCGCTTAAGACCGGTTGTTTCCAACACCATCTACCGTAAGATACTCTCAATGCCCTGTTCGTGTTCATGCAGCAAATGCATGGTGTAAATTTTCTGCCAACATTTGACAGTCAGGAATGGTAATTGCAGTGTGTTAAAGCCCACTACCCGAACTGCAAAACCGAGAGGCAAACTTTGCACACACTGCCTCCGGGACCACCGGTTATCAAATACTTCCTTGCAAAACCGAAGCAGCCGTCGGGTAGCACAGGCTTGGGAACAGGTGAATGCAGCACCCACGCACGAGGGGACTTGGGGCTGGGGTTCACACTTGCGAAGACGTAAATCTGGTTTGTTGCGTGAGCAGTGGCAGCTGCAGAGGGGGAAAGTGAGTGCGTGGGGGGGAAAGGGGTTGAACGACGGGGGGGAAAAGTAAGCAGGGAGGAGGAGGGGCGAGATCAGGGGGAAAGGTGACCGGAGGGGGGGAACGGGGTGAGCAAAAAGGGAAAGCGAGTGAGTAGGACGGAAAGAGGGGTAACAACAGAGCGACAGTGAATGAGCGGTGGGGAAAGAGGGGTGAATGGAGGGGGTAAGAGAGCGAGTGGAGGGAAAAGGGTGAGCGAAGGGAGAAAGAAGGGTCCCCAGAACGGACAGGGCAGGAGTACAGAACATGACACAGGGAGACGGGGACAGGACACAGGGAGGAGAGCGCAGGGTATAGGGAGGCGGGAACAGACAGGTACAGCGAGGCAGGAACAGGTACAGGGAGGCGGGAACAGGTACAGGGAGGCGGGAACAGGTATAGGGAGGCGGGAACAGGTACAGGGAGGCGGGAACAGGTATAGGGTAGCTGGCACTGAGGAAAGGTTGACCGAAGAGAGAAAGACAGCCCGAGGTGGGATGAGGGTTACAGGAAAGGGAGAGCGATCTGGAAATTAGAAAGGGGGGGTGGGCGAAAGTGAAAGGCCGGTTTGACGGGGGAGGAGAGGAGAGGGGGACGTTGGGAGGATGAAACGGGGGGGGGGAAGAGAATTGTGAGAGAGATGTAATGGAGGTGAGGGAGGGAGAGAGAACAGACAACGGCGAAAGAGTAAGGGAGGGGGGGGGAGAGGAAGGGATGAAGGGGTAAGGGGTGAGAATGAGAAAATAAACCCTGGGTAACTCTCGCGCTCTGCCACTGTAGGTTTGAATTCACGTTGTGGGTCACCACCCCGATTCGCCAAAGTCACCAGAGGCTGCGCAGTCAATAACATGTCTAGTGTGTGCTGAAATACTGCCAAGGGCATTCTGGGCTGTTTGGCATGAAAAAGGACTGTTTCCGTGGGACAGTAATTAAGTTCGTGATGGCTCAAACATGCGTTTGGAACTCTTCTCGCGGCTGCAAGAAGCTAGTTTTGAGACGCCTCAAAACGGCTCAAACATGCGTGAGGGCATCTTTTCGCAGCTGCAAGAACCCATGGCGACTGGAGTGCGACGGGGCCGCTGGTCAACACGATCGCGAAACTCTAAACACAGAAAAAGGAACTTTCAAGAAATTCTCAAAAATCTCCTCTACATCTTAGCATATAGTTCTCATCCGCAGGAGCACTACTACTACTCGCCATGGTAGTACGACCTGAACAATGGAAGATTCTAATCATTAGGGTTCTTTGATCTGTCCCCGTACAAAAAATGAAAACATTCAGATCAAAAGCGCTAAAGTACCAGTCTCACTTTCAACGTCATCTGCCTAGATCGAGAATCTGCTAGGCCATCCTCACTGGCTAAGGGCGTATTTCATTTTGCGACGTCAACATTGTTTTGATTTCTACCTAAATCGCTCGCTGGGCTCCAAAATGGACTTCAGCGAATCGAAAAACAATCTGTTTCGTCTCGTTGAAAAACTCAAACCCGTCACGAATAGTTACGTTCGACGTCTTCGCAATCACACGAAGTTTAGTGTTCTCGAGAATGTGAACACCCTTGCCAAACGAGCAGAAACCGGTTACCAGAACAAAGTGCAGAAATTCATCGTCCAAATTCAGACTACACCTATAGCAGGAACCGCAATTCCCTAGAAGTCACCAGGAACCGCTGTCGACGCTAATCAACGTGTCAGCTGCCATGCGTTGCGCCTTAGGGCCAATCGCCCCACGGCGCGCCTACCACCAACCTCGCACAGCCTTGCGCCATTCTCTGGGGCCAAGAACTGGCGGCTTTTGGGCCGTAGATTTAGGTTCGAGGGGGTCAATACGAAGACCGAAACAATCGAACGAGTTGACGAGCGGATAAGATTTGGCTTTAGTACGAAACATACATCCCTGCCCTTCGGACGAGGGGAATCGCTTTCCGCGATTATTTCTCACCCTCGAGAATCTATTTTCTCGATTGTTCCTGATTCTCCCTCTTTCTGGACTCAGATAACTTGAGTCCGTCGTGATGCTGTTACGATTCTTCGCAAAATCGAGTTGTCGTGCTCTCAGACCTCGTAACCAGATCTGCCACATCTTCCTACTGTTCCGGGCTAATTTTGTGAGGATCACTTGAACGCTATCATTGCAACGTCGTACCTGCTTCTCATTCCCGAGCAACAAGTCCCTTTTCACCGGTGACCATAGGTGCGTCGATTCTGCAATTTGTAACTTGTATTGCAGAGGCGTTTCTCTAGAGCCTAATCAACATAGTGGCTGCATAAGCTCTTCCTGATTTCATTCTCTCCTCCTCCTCCTCCTCCACCCCTGATCTCTCTCATTCCTCGTTGTGACTGCAGCTTGAAGCAGCCATGGCAGCAAGTAACGACGACATGGCCACTCTTGAGGAAAAGCTGATTATCTGTCAGCAGACCAAGAAGCATGCAGACGATGGTGAGTGGACGGACTAGGTGGTGAAGGAATGGGATGAAAGAATTGTGCTCGGATCCCTCTTTCTTACTTCTGGGAGGCAGGTTCTATACTTTTTCTCTTCTCCGCTTTGTGGCACTCATAAGTGTTTTTCATCCCTGAGTATCTGCTTCAAAACGCTCATTGGTGCCGGAGGTGGTTTGAGTGCAAATCTCGTCTAGGATCATAAGTTTCGGTTACAGCAGGAAATGCCGAGAACAGAATCCATACACAGTTTGCAAGCACAAGCTTTGCAAATAGCGTGTCTCTATTCTGTGCCGTTTTTTTACCCATGCATATCACGATTGAACTCAAGATCACCAAAGTACTCAACCACTCCCGTTATCTGTCAACGCCTCTTTACCCCAACAGGGTTGTGGAACAAACCCTGCTCGAGCTGCGCAGCCAATCAACAGAAGTTGGGCTGCTGCGTGTTCGTTTTGCGCATTCATATCACGTATGAGCTCAACTCACCAAGCTATCCAACCATTCTGGTTATCCGCCCACGCCTCCCCGAACAGAGTTTACTACGGTTGTGGAGCAAGCCCTGCTCGAGCTGCGCAGCCAGTCAACTGAAATTGGGCTGCTGCGCGAGACATTGGCTGCCCTGCGTGCAGTGAATGTTGAGCTGGTCACACGGATGAAGGGGTTTGAGCTCATGGAAGCTAGGCTGAGTGACCATGAGCAACTGGAGAGAAGGGTTAGAGAGTTTGAGAAGCTGGAGGAGATTAGGTTCAAAGAGTATGAGAAACTGGAGCATAGGGTCAGGGATTATGAGAAACTGGAGAGTAGGGTTAGGGAGTATGAGAAAATGGAGGAGAGGGTTAGGGAGTATGAGAAAATGGAGGAGAGGGTTAGGGAGTATGAGAAAATGGAGGAGAGGGTTAGGGAGTATGAGAAAATGGAGAAGAGGGTTAGGGAGTATGAGAAAATGGAGAAGAGGGTTAGGGAGTATGAGAAAATGGAGGAGAGTAGGGTCAAAGAGTACGAGAAACTGGACATTAGGGTCAGGGATTATGAGAAACTAGAGAAGAGGGTTAGGGAGTATGAGAAACTGGAGAGGGTTCAGGAGTATGAGAAACTTGAGAGTAGGTATCTACGACTGCATGAGAAACTGGACGCATCGAGGAAAGATTCGGACCACTGGGAAGCGAAAATGAGGATGTGGAAGTATAAAGCTGAGAAACTCGAGGCAGCGGCGAACGAATCAGCCAGCTTGAAAGGGAGCGTGAGAGAGTTACAGGCTTTGGTGGCGAGACTTAAGCAGGAGATAGGGTATCTGGAGGAAAGGATTCGGGAACCTGGGCCTTCGGAGATGCTGGTCAGGAATCTGAAGAAAGACCTGGAAGAGGTACAGTGGGGGGATCAATGAGAGCATGTGCACAAGCTCATACATGCGTGTGAGAATGCAAATGTGTGCGCACTTGCATGTGCGAGATACACTTACGGAGCATTTGCATATGGGGCCATGCATGCAGCACGCCCCTGTTGCATGAATATTTTTTTCTCTCTTTGAAAAACCATCTTTGTTATTTTGGTTTTTCGTCCTTGAACAAGCAACCATCCATGAGGAAACTGTTTTGATGTTTTTTTGGCAGATGACGCAGCAGCGTAACAGGTATTGCCAGCAGCTGAGGAACACCCAAGAGCACAGAGGGAGGCTGCAGCAACAAATGATGGAAGCCCGAGACATGACTCTTCAGGCAAGTGAAAAAATACCGGTATCCAACTCCCCTAACCTCACTTCAGACTCTCCTCGTCAGCACCATGGTTTGTGGTTCTATGCTGAGTTGCATCTGTCTGCAACAATGCAAGTTAGTGTGTTAACTGCATTCAATGTACTTTTCTGTGCTCCCCGGGTGCTGCATGGCTGCTGGTAAGGGAGAAGAAGGGGAGGACAGGGGGGGTTAGAGGAGGTATTAAAGTGCCTATGCCTGGACATTGATATCCATGTCTCATTGTTTTCCTGCATACCCCGTAGGTTCTGCGTGGCTGCATGGCAGAGCTCAACCAAGTGCCAGCAGTGGGGGTACCGCAGCTGGTGAGCGCAATCAAAGCTCACATTCAGCCAGAGGTGGAGCAGGAAGGAGAGGACTTGGTGGTAGTCGACTCAGACCCCAATATAAAGGAAAATCTGAAACTAGTAGTCGAGACCATCAGGACGCTGCTTGCTGCAGCTCCTCGGATGGCGAGTCTGCATCTGCCCGACTGACTGATTGCCTCAGACTGCGGCGAGCCTTTCTTGTGACTTGGTGGTAGTCAACGATGTCAGAATGAATGAAACAGGAATGATTGACTAGCAGGAGGGTTGGGTACAAATAGGTCAAACCTAACCCTAGAAGTGTTGTACTCCCTAAGGCTAAACCCACTATAGCCTACTCAATATATAAACATATAATGTTTGACACACCCCATAGGCGAAGTGGGAGACAACCAGAGGGTCACAAGACCAGTCAAAGCAAAGCAAAGCAAAGCAAAGCTCAGGGTGGATCTCAAGGATACCACACAAATTCCGAGCACAAGCAAGTGGTTACAAGACCAGTTGACATGCAGTTTGATAATAGAACAAGAGGTACAGTGATCACAACCTAGCAAGTGAAAGCATGCAGGTATATATAGAGATCACAGTACAAGCAGAGTCAAGAAGTGAGCAAGTGAGGGAGAGTAGGCACAAGACCTAGAACAGTACAGAAACGCTGATGGTCACAAGGCTGAAGCGCCTTGGTGAACACATCAGCAGTGTTGGCCCGAGTGGCCACGTAACGCAGACGAAGCTGACCACGCTGCTGCAGCTCTCGAGCAAGGAAAGTAGCGCAGAGCGATGTGCTTCGTTCTGTGCTCCAGTCTGTGCTCCTCACACAAGGCAATGGCTGCCTTGTTGTCGACGTACAGCACTGGAGGAGAACGAGGCCGCTCTCCGAGGTCGGTCAGCAGGTAGGTGAGCCAGCGTAGCTCCTGGGCAGCCATGGCTGTGGCGTAGATCTCAGCCTCACAACTGGAGCTGAGAACAGAGGAAGAGCGTGTAGAACGCCAGGAAACAGAGCCAGAGCCAAGGCTGAAGGTGTAACCCTGAGACGACCGCTGCGTAGCCTGGTCGTCAGCCCAAGAAGCGGCTGAGTGTCCAGTGAGGACAACGTCGCGCCGTCCTCCAAGCACAAGCCCCATGCCCGACGTACTGCACAAGTAGCGCAACACCCTCTTAGCGGCATCCATGTGCTCCTTCCGGTGACGGCCAGGAGCGACATAGCGTGCTAGGATGCTAAGAGGGTAGGCTAGGTCAGGTCGAGTGCAGGTCATCAGGTACATGAGGCAGCCCACAAGCTCTGGATACGGGCCACTCGGCTCTACGGACTCATCCGAAGGCAGAGCTGAGAGCGAGTGACCGGTAGGCAGAGGAGTGGTCTGAGGCGAGGAGTACGTGAAGCGGAAGCGCTGAAGGACCTGCTGCACCATGTGTGATTGAGTCAAGGTGATGGTGCGCTGTGCTCTGTTCCGGGTGATCCGCAAGCCAAGATAGCTTGTCAGCTCACCCAGGTTTGTGCACGTGTGTCTCTTCTGCAGCTCCGACTTCACGTGGGCGAGTGCCTCAGTGTCAGCAGTAGCAAAGACCAAGTCGTCTACGTACACGAGAACGTAGAACGGCGGCAGAGTGGTGTCGGTGCGTAGAAACAGCGACGGGTCAGCAGTAGAAGGAGCAAACCCAAGAGCAGCAAGAGTAGTCCTCAGTGTGTCGTGCCACTCACGGGGCGCCTGGCGGAGACCGTAGACCGGCCGCCGGAGGCTCCACTGGGTACCAGGAGGGAACGACCCAGTGAAGCCAGGTGGGCGGCGCAGCCAGATCTCCTCGTGCAGGGTGCCCTGTAGGAACGCAGTGCTGAAGTCAAGGCAGTGGAGCTCGTAGTCACGCTGAGCGGCGACGTGCAGCAGAACCCGAAGAGTGGTCATCTTCGGGGTCGGGGAGAAGGTCTGGAAGAAGTCAACTCCCTCTCGCTGACTGAAGCCTCGTGCAACGTAACGCGCCTTGAAGGCAGGCGGAGAACCCGGCGGCCGCTTCACCCTGAAAATCCACATGCCACTGACGATGTTCGCCCCAGGTGGGGGAACCTCGTCGACGTAGGTGCCTGTGGACTTCCAGGAAGCCATCTCTGCGTCCATGGCTGTCTGCCACTGAGAGGAGTACTCACCCTCTATCGCCTCTGCGTAGGAGCGTGGGGTCGGGATGTCTGGTGCATCCGGGTCTCCCTCAGGGGCAATCAGCATGGACACGAGATGAGGTAAAGCAGCAGCAAAGCACTCAAACTCCTCCTGTCTGTCCTCAAGGACGTCCGTGCTAAGAGCACACTCACCCCCGACGGACGGAGGACAGACAGACTCAGACTCAGCGACAAGGCTAGCGGCGTAGTCTAGACGACAGGCGGCAGCAAAGTCAACAAGCTCAGCGACTAGAGCAGACGCAGCAGAGGACTCAAAGGTAGGGTCAGTGACAACAGTGGCAAGGAGACGCGCGACAGTAGAACTGGCAGCACGAGTAAGGTCTGACGGCGGGTCGGCAACGTCAGGAAGAGAGGACGCAGGAGGAGACGGCAGAGGGACGCGCTGTGGAGCAGTGGACGGACGCAGGGTCATGTAGTGAGTGCCTAGGACAGGAGGAGGACGCTCACGTGGAGCACGACGACCAGTGCGTGCAGTGCGGACAGGCGACTCTGGACGAGACTCAGAAGACGCAGGACTAGACTCAGGCGACGGAGGACGAGACTCAGGCTCACGACGCTCCGTAAAGCTACCTGTCGGCGCAGTGTAAGGAGAAGGACCAGGCAGTGGAGAGGCAGGCTGTAACTGTGACTGCGACGGGACAGGTGGTGGACTCAGTAGGGGAGGAGGAGTAGGACCAGGAGAGGGCGGGAGACCAAGAACCTGCTGAAGGAGCGGAACGTAGTACGGCCGCAGCCGCTCAGCACCTCCAGTGCCAACCCCCTCAGCAGCTCCAGTCCCAGCAGCTCCAGTACCTCCAGTACGAGCACCTCCAAGACCGGCGGCTCCAGCAGCTCCAGCACCAGCAGCACCACCAGCAGCACCAGCACCTCCAGCAGCTGCAGCAGCAGCAGCACCTCCAGCAGCACCAGCACCAGCAACACCTCCAGCAGCTCCAGCAGTACCAGCAGCACCAGTACCAGCAGCACCTCCAGCAGCGCCAGCAGCACCGCCAGCAGCAGCAGCACCTCCTGCAGCTCCAGCAGCACCAGCACCAGCAACACCTCCAGCAGCTCCAGCAGCACCGCCAGCAGCAGCAGCACCTCCTGTAGCTCCAGCAGCACCAGCACCAGCAACACCTCCAGCAGCTCCAGTAGCACCAGCAGTACCTCCAGCAGCTCCAGCACCAGCAGCACCCCCAGCAGCTCCAGTAGCAGTACCGGGGTCCGCGACGCGAGGAGCGCCACTCCGGAGACTGCAGTGCCGAGCGTACCACTCGCGGAGCTGCAGGGGAGAGGGCAGCGCCCGCCTAGGAGGGGAAGCACTAGTACCAGCTCCAGGAGCGCTCCGAGCGCCAGAAGCACCTCTCCTGAGGCTGCAGTACTGTAAGTACCACTCACGCAGCTGCTCGGAGGAGAGAGCTCCTCCAGGTGCAGCACTCCCAGGCTCAGCACCCCCAGACTCATCACCCCCAGTCTCAGCACCCCCAGGCTCCGCACCCCCAGGCTCCGCACCCCCAGGCTCCGCACGCTCAGGCTCAGCACCCCTAGCAGGACGAGAGTCGACAGCTACCTCGACAGGGTCAACCGGGTCTACCTGGGACACATCTGAGGGAGCGGCACCCTGAGGGGGGAGGGGGTCTACCACAGCAGCACCTGGCGCGAGGAAGAGAGGCGGGGGAGGGAGCGGGGCAGTGCGGTAGGGGAAGAGGCGGTAGTAGGGCACCGACTCGTCAAAAGTGACGTCCTGAGAGGGCAGGACACGGCGCGAGGTGGCGTGGTAAAACTGCCAACCAGACGCGTCCGGGACAAAGCCAAGGAAGACACAAGGAACAGCGCGGGAGGAGAGTTTGTCCGCAGACGTATCGCGGACAAAAGCTCGAGATCCCCAGACCCGAAAACGCGATGCATCGCCAACCTCCCCCGTCCACAGCAGTGTGGGCGAGGTCTCCGGCAAGGAGACACGGGGCCAGATGTTGAGCTGATGCGCAGCGTAGCGGACTGCAAACGGCCACAGAAAGTGGGGGGCAGCCGCATGGATCAAGGAGGTACGAGCGACCTCCATGACCAAGCCAATGCGGCGCTCAGCAACCCCATTCTGCTGTGGAGAGGCCGGAAGCGTGAACGACTGCTCAATGCCATGCTCCGCACAGTAGGCTGCCAAGAGGTCGGAGGAGAACTCACCACCTCTAACAGAGTGCAGACGCAAGACAGGAAAGTCCGAGTGGAACCGCTCGCTGAGCTGGAGACGAGAAGCGCGGATCCAAGGGATCAAAACAGCAGGGACCTCACCCTTGGTGCGCAAGGGGAAGACCGTGGTGTAGCGCGAGAAGTCGTCAACAACGATCAGGAAGTACCGCTCCTGACCCTGTCCACGGACGCGGGCTTTGCCCCACACGTCCATGTGGAGCGTCTGCAAGGGAGCAGTCGTCGGGGGAAACGAGGAGGAGTGACGAGCGGCGCGCTGCCGCCCCTCGACACAAGGAAGACAGGGAGGAGCAGGCGAGGGTGGGAGGGGAGGAAGTACCCGGGGAAGACCAGAGACAAGGTACCGTTTGTGCATGGCACGAAGGCGCTGCACGCACGGGTGACCAAGGCGGTGGTGCCAGAGGACAGTCTCGTGCGCCAGAGAGCGACACGAGCAGGGGGCAGACAACTGACCTGACGCAGACGCAGACGCAGCTACCTGAGGGGACTCAGTGGTCAGTGTGTACAGGTCCGACCCCGGCTGCCTAGTGAAGGTAGCGAGGTGACGGCCCGTCCGAGCGCACGTGCAGTGTGTCACGCGCTCGTAGGCAGGGGTGAACTGGTGGACACCCCCGTCCTGGAGCGCACAACCCGCCACCAAGTTCGTAGAGAACGAGGGGAGGTGGAGACCTGACAGAGTGCCCGACGGAACCGCAGGACAAGGAAGGACAGTGGAGGAGGTCGCAATGACCGGACCCCCAGAGGGGTCAGCAAGGGAGACAGCAACTGGCCGAGCAAGCTGCTCAAGGGCAGTGCGGTCACGAAAGAAACAGCGAGAAGCGCCTGAGTCTAGAGTGAAGGTGTGCAGTGCCTCAGTGGACTCAGTACCAGGGGGCGCAGACTCACTAGCACCTGGAGCAGCAGCCTCACCAGCACCTGGGGCAGCAGACACGTAAGCACCTAGCGCAGCAGCCTCACCAGCACCTGGGGCAGCAGACACGCAAGCACCTAGAGCGGCAGCCTCACTGGTGCGAATGCCCGGGTCGGGCGGAACACGCAGGTACTAATCACCCTCTCCACTAGTAGACAACACATACATGGCGGTGAGAATAGCATCAAAGTCAAGAGCAAAGACATCAATGTTCTTCTTCATCAGATCCCACCAGCGGGGCAGCTCAGTGGCAGTAGGGAACTGAGTGCGCCAAGCGTCGTCGAGGCGGGAGAAGCAGCGCTGTGTGGTGTGCGCCCTCCCACACGTCTGGCCAGTGCGCTCACCAGTGCGGATGACGTACGTGCAGCTAAGGCCACCCCCCCCCCCCCCCCCCCCCGTGCTGAGAGTACCACTCACGAAGCTCCTGGGGAGAGAGAGTCTGCTGTCCGCCAGCGCCACCACGACCACCACCTCCGCCGCCACCACCTCGACCACCACCGCCCCTGCCGCCGCCTCGTCCACCGCCGCCCCCACCACCGCCCCCACCTCGGCCACCTCCTCCGCTGCTGCCGCCACCACCCCCACCGCTGCCACTAGCCCCTCCTGCCCCGCCACCACCCCCACCGCCTCCACCGCCCCCACCACCGCCTCCCCCGCCGTCACCTCCACCTCCCTTGCCCCCTTTGCCCTTGCCGCTGCGGCGCCAGCTCGGAGCGGACGCAGTCCCGACCTGCTCAGTACCAACTAGGTCGACAGCAGCAGCAGAGGCGACAGAGGGGAGCAGGGGGGAAGGGGAACACCCCTCGAAGAACGGGGTGCGGGGGTCGCCACGAGAGGCAGCTACAGTGACCATGCTAGTCTCGGCTGCAAGCAGTTCCTTCTCGAGCAGGTCAACGGTGAGCTCAGTGGGGCAGCGAGCTAGGAAGTGGTCCCTGACCGCACGAAGAGAGTCAGGGAGACGGGTGACAAGGTG